TTCTATTCTATTCTATTCTATTCTATTCTATTCTACATTCTATTGATATTGTTTCCTGATTGCTGATTTGCACCCTATGACTATCATTAAGTGTTGTGCCTTATGATTCTTGACGAATGTATCTTGTCTTTTTATGTAACTGAGAGCATCTGCACCAAAGACAAATTCCTTGTGTCTCCAATCACACTTGACCAATAATGAATTCTATTCTATTCTATTCTCTTCTCTTCTTCTATTTTCCATTCCATATTTTCTATTCCATTCCATTTCAGTCTATATTTTTATTCTATTCTATTCTATTCTATTCTATTCTATTCTATTCTATTCTATTCTACATTCTATTGATATTGTTCCTGATTGCTTCTTTGTATCCTCTGACTATCATTACGTGATATGATTCGTGATGAATGCATCTTGTCTTTTTATGTACAGTGAGAGCTTATGCACCAAAGACAAATTCCTTGTGTCTCCAATCACACTTGACCAATAATGAATTCTATTCTATTCTATTCTCTTCTCTTCTTCTATTTTCCATTCCATATTTTCTATTCCATTCCATTTCAGTCTATATTTTTATTCTATTCTATTCTATTCTATTCTATTCTATTCTATTCTATTCTATTCTACATTCTATTGATATTGTTCCTGATTGCTTCTTTGTATCCTCTGACTATCATTACGTGATATGATTCGTGATGAATGCATCTTGTCTTTTTATGTACAGTGAGAGCTTATGCACCAAAGACAAATTCCTTGTGTCTCAAATCACTCTTGGCCAATAAAGAATTCTATTCTATTTTTATAATCGCGCCCACAGTCTCTAGAAAGCAGAAACGGTGGAACATCAATACATACAAGGCAAAATGTTGACGTATCTGTTCTTCTCTTTGTTTTCTTCTTTGGAGGCAGCTTCACAGGTGGCTTGGATCGGACATGCTGGAAGCGCCTGGATGGACACAGCGAATATAAAAATAACTTGGCTGTTACATCTCTGCTAACCACGACAAGCATTAACCAATCAAACCAATTCATTAAACCAATCTTCAAAAAAAAAAACCAACCCCAGAAAGTCCAGTTGCCTCCTGAAAAAAGCACCATTGGGACAATCATGACCGGGGTGGCTGAGAATCAATCTCCATAGACTACTAATCAACCAACCAACCACTTTTATGGCTGTTTGACGTGGCTTCTGGGGCAGCAGCCAAATCCAGGGTAAACTCCGCTTCCAAAGGCATGGATAGAAAACCCTAGGGAGGAGGATATCAGAGGTGGGTATTCGGCAGGTTCTGACCAGTTCTGGAGAATCGGTAGTGGAAATTTTGAGTAGTTTGGAGAACTGGTAAATGCCACCTCTGGCTGGCCTCGCCCTTATCTATTCTCGGCCTCCCGAATCCCAGCTGATTGGGAGGGAATGGGGATTTTGCAGTAACCTTCCCCTGCCACGCCCACCAAACCACACCCACAGAACCGGTAGTAAAAAAAAAAATGAAATTTCACCACTGGAGGACGTTGAGTTGCCAATTCTGCAATCTTGACATGTCAAAAACTAGGGTGGATTGTAAGTTATACATTGCTTCATAAGTTTATAAATAAATTGTAATACAATTAGGTGATTTCTAGTCCTGCTATAGGCATGAAAGCTGGCTGGGTGACTTTGGGCCAATCAAGCAGGAGAGGGAGAGTTCTAGTCCCGCCTTTGGCATGAAAGCCGGCTGGGTGACTTTGGGCCAATCAAGCAGGAGAGGGAGAGTTCTAGTCCCGCCTTAGGCATGAAAGCCGGCTGGGTGACTTTGGGCCAATCACAAATGCAATCTTATGATTCTATTATTCTTGCAAACAGATTTCAGTGAAGGAAGTGTGTTGGTGCTAACCTGCTCCACCAGAGGGCAGCAAAGCTCCCCCCTGGCCAAGGTTCAACTTTAGCAGAACCAGAAAACCCAGGTAGTCTATAGCGTAAGACTATGCAGGTGGACTTCAACTCCCAGAATTCAACCTTCAGTTCAGGAAGTTGAAGTCCACCTGCATAGTCTTACGCTATAGACTACCTGGGTTTTCTGGTTCTGCTAAAGTTG